TTCTCAACGGATGTAGGAGCAATCGCAGGAATTGGACTCGGAATGGCACAGTTGGAGGTTTTGCAATGGGCTAGAAGAAAGGCGAGCAAGGTGCCAGGGTGAGGTGAGCATTGGGCAGGAGGCATGAGGCTCGAGGCACGAGGCGGGGGCACGGACCGGGTCTATTCAGTGGGCAAAGCTGTGAAGCCACTTGAAACGTGCATCAATTGTTTGGAAAGACGAACGATACGAAATTCTTAACGTGCTGCAGCTCTATTTATGGAACATTGGGAGCACATCGAGTGGCCCTTTGGTGGTGCGATCTGCGGTGGTTGCTGCTGCTGCTGCTGCTGCTGCCGCTGCTGCTGCTTTTGCCTTTTGTTTGTTTACTTCAAAAGCTGCAACACGAAACCGAGCCATCGATGCCGTTGCACTATGCTGCCTGGCTAACGGCGGTGTGCGGGGGTGTTGCTGCAATTGCACTCGTGCGTTCAACGAGAGCCACTCGATCCACAGTTGCTGTGCTGCAAGGCAACACACACACACACGCACACCTACACACACAAGGCCTACAACCAGCTCGAATTGAACTTAATTGCATGAAATTGAGACACGAGACTCGATACATGAGTCGCAGATGCCAGCGGCAAGCGAGAATCATCGCTGAGATTCATTCAAGACTCATGCGTCGTCTTCAATTTGGAGCTGTGCGCACTAAGTGCGCCGTCAAATGAGCTGTCATAATGATGATATCGTCGCTAAAAGCGGAGAGCTTTCAGTACTAGAGATGGGATTTATTTTCATGTAGAGTTACAGGAAATCAAATGAAACTGTTGAACTCATAGACCTTAATCATATTTAAGATTGCGAATCTCCCTAGTGATTTTACGACCATCTAAGCATATATGTATGTATCTCTTTATTATAGTAGTGCAAATGAGCACCGTATATATAAAAATACACTACTTCTTAGGTATATTTTATTTTATTAAGTCTGTGAAGCTTACGTAGAAAACATTTCCGTGGTATGATCTCTCTAACCATATATGCAGGCGTATATAGTGTATAAAGCATTGTATATTAATACATGTTCTTATCTCTTGTGTATATTACATGCATCAGTATTTTTAATAACAGCTTATTATCCGAATATAGTTGAATGGTTTGAAAATCATCTGAGAATCTTAAATAGACTATAAATTCACATTAATTCTAATATATATCACATATATTCTAATATATATTATATAAATTTACTAAATTCATAGGAATAATATCCGTCTTTAGTACTCATTTTAGTCATCGTTTATTTTAAAGTAAAACTAAAAAACCATTTTCTAGTAAGATTTAAGAATAACTAAAGAGATATACTGTGCTGACATCTTGTATAGAAAAAACGATGTACATATATCTCAGTTTTAGCTTTAAAATCCATGTTAGATCTAAACTGCTTTTGGCTTCCGTTTATCTATTGATACTTCAGCTCGGGTACTACTAATGATGTTCGGCTGCATTGCGAATGTATCAAAAACTGACTTGAAATAAAAAAGATATAAGAATGAAACAGACATATATATTTATATATTCATATATGTTCATTCATTCATAGATTAGCCAGTTCTCTCACTGTATATTCCCACCTCAGTTCAGTTATTAGTTAGAGCGCATCATTCGTGACACGCTGCCATCTCTAGACCATGGCCAACATATTCGCATGTAGAATGCTGTGAAGTTATGCTGAGCCCCATTTGGGGGCCACAATGCTCAAGTGGTTGACACCCATGAACTCCAGCAAATGTGTCTAACAGCAAATGTAGCGCTGCCATTAACGAATGTGAATGTGCAGCTGCCCCTTCTCCTCCCTCTCCCTTACCCCTTCTGTTCCTTCTTGTGGCCCCTTGAGCTGAAGTTGTTCTTCTGCTGCTGCTGCTGCTGCTGCTGCTGCAAGTTCTATCGATGACAAAGTCTAGCCAATGAACTGTGAATGCATTAAAAGACGATGGGCGGGGGGCGTGGGGCAGAAGAAGCAGAAGACGACATTCATATGAACTCTCAAGGCATTACGAACGACCACATAAACATGTCGAACGTGGACGAACTGGCTAACAAGAAAGGGGGGAGTGGAAGCGTGGGGGCGCTTGGAGGGGCGAAGGTGGGAGCGGGGGCGTGAGCAGGGATTGAGGTGGTAGGGGCATAGTTAGCGGCGAAACGCCCGCATAAAGCAAAGGCGCCTTGGATAAAGATCTGATTCAGTGTGAGTTGATTTTCGAATTAGGACCGAGATTCGAGATGGCACTTGTTGAATGCCAGATTGATCAACGGAATGAATGAGTGATTGACTGATTGAATGAATGAATGTGCATTCGGCAGAGTTGAAACCAGTTTGCAAAGCAGCGCTGACATTTGTAGACACTCACACGCACACACACACGCACACATGCACATACATTGTATAAAACGCATTTATCTGACAGATGCCGAAACAAAAGAGGCAAGAAGAGAACAGAAACCGAAACAGAAACAGAAACAGATACAGATAGAGATACGGATATACGGCTTAAGTTAAGTTATCTGTGCCTCTTGCCCAAGTCTTTATAAGTCGTTAGTAAACAGCGCTCGTTTCGCGCCGTTTTCCTCTTCCTCCTCCTCATCTTCTTCGTCGTCTTCGTCTTCGTCTTTATGTTTATTTGATGTTTGTTTATTTTCGCGCAAATATCGCAACAATTGAGCAAATTCCAAGATGAGCAACGACTCGACGAATACGCTTCCTGGAATGCGTCACGACGGCATCTCTGCCAAGCAAATTCGCGTAACTGTTTGAATCAGCTAACTCATCGACTTGGTTAGATCAGAGTAACATAGGGTCAGGCGAAAGTATATATCTATCTGCTTATTGAATGATATATGCAAGAAATTAATTGGTATTTATTTGTTAGCATCGAATCACAGTGCTCACTCGCGTTGGTGGAAACTCGCATTTATATTACTCATGAGCTGTACTTCCTATAACAAAAATTATGTTTATATTTGTTTACCTTTTTACATGAAATAAAATTAAAAATAATTTTGCTTTAATGTGTTAAATATTTAAATTAATAAAATATCCAAGAAAAGTATGGCAAATGTATAACTAATAAAAGCAAGAAAAACGAATTTGAAATACATGTATTAATTTTTTTCTTAAATGTATTAAAAAAAAAAAAGTTATTTGAAAAAATGTTAGAAAATTATATTGAAAGAGGTTATACAAAATATAATTTAAAAAAATATAAATAAATAAATAAAAAATATTTTAATATATATAAAAAAAAAAATTGTTTCAAATCTATATTTACGACTAATTATATTGTATTAGAAATATATTGCAAGAATTATTTTAAAATTATATTAAAAAGAAATTAGCCTGCAAATATGTTTAAAAACAAATATTTTTAAAATTTATTCCTTATTTATTAATTTTACAGCATGATTGACAAATTTATATTTTTAAAATATTTTGAGCCCTATAATAAAACAAAAACTTAATGTTGGAAAATATAAATAAGATTATAAAATATATGAAAAAATTATTAAATATTTCATAACTAACTTATCGAGACGCAAGGCTTAAATCTAGCGCCAATTGAAATGGCCTAGAAAACTATCGATAACACAAAGGTGGAGCAGTTGAGTTAGGAGTAATCATTTAACATATGCCATATAATTTGCAATAGAAATAATGGTATTACAATATAAATGGCATAAAAATGGCAGCTTAAAGCTTATTGAACCGCCCAACCGATTCCTTATTGACAAATTGAATCAAAAGTGTTGCATAAGAAGCTCTTAAAGCATTGAGCGTCATTCGCATTTGTAAACAAGGGCGCAGAGCTTTGTTGTAAACACGATTTCCTTTGGCTAATTGCCAACTGGGCGACTACGTGGGGGTTCCTGCTTCATCTTGCGTTTACTTCTCTTGCATATTGACATCCGGTTTCTGTTTCACTTGCATTTGTTTTTATTGCTATTGTTGTTGTTGTCTATCGATAAGTGAGCGCACTGAGCACTGTTTAAGGGTTGATCGACCGCCTGCGGGAGTGAGGGTGGGCCACGTTGTTGAGAGTTGCCCAATTTGCCTACTTGACGTGTCCAAACTCGATTAAGCATCGGGAAATAAGGATGACAAAGTGCAGTGGCCACCCTTAGCTGAATCGTTCATTGGGGGTGAGCTGGTTGCAAAGAGTTGCCACATTGCTTAGAGTAAAGCAAGCATAATGTTGTATGTATTTAGATGTATTATGCATTTCATAAGTTTCTATAAGCTATCGATATTTTATCGATTCATATTCTATACGTAAAACACTAAAAATGACTTGGCCATAATTTAGTCTTGATCAATTATCGAATGTCTACCATAATTATAAATGTGAGCAATCGATTTTTATCGTAACAATCGATAGTCATCGATAGCTGCAAAAACTGTCTAATTCTTAGCCTATACTTGCACACATTTATTTGCTAGCTATCGATAATTATTATATATAAATATTTGTAAATTCGATAACTCTCGATAGCCACCAGTCCAAATGCATATGCCTAGCTGTCTATTTATCGATAATTCCTGATTTGTATTCTGATGTCTGTATGCATATGCATAACGGAAATCGATAACTGCTAGATCGATAACAGCCAATATCGAGTTGTATATCTGTAAACAGAGCAATGGGCATTGTTTACATCGTCTGGTAACGCCGAGAGGATTGCAACCCCCAAATCGAAACTAGTTGCAACTACCAAGTGGCATAGATTCGCATGGACACGGGACGCCCACCCATCCACCCTAGCAGCACGCATTGGGCGCAGACGCAAGGAGAGCCACGCACACAGAGAGTGAGAGAGCGAGAGAGAGCCGGTCAGCGTACCGTTAGCCAGGAAAGGCCAGCGAGAGAGAGCCAGAGAGAGAGAGAGAGAGAGAGAGAGCGTATTAAAGTGGGCTCATTAAAGTTTCATGGGCTGTTCTTTTCGCGTGCTTTTTGTTGCTGTCCTGGCTTGAGAAGTTTTTGTTATTCTTGTTTTTGGGGCATGTTTTGCTTGGGCCAGTGCGCCGCTCTGTTCAGCTCCGTGCCTTGAGTCGTGCTGAAGCTGTTCCAGCCACGGGAGAAAGCAATAATAATACAACCAGGAATAATAAAAGAACAGAATAAATAACAAAAACCAAATACAACAACAATAAAGTGTTCAAAAACTCGGGGATTTTTATATTTTTGTTTTTTTCAATAAACAAAACGAAAGTAAACCTAAGCATAAAATTAAACTCTTCAGTGCCAAGAAAAAGGCAAGGCCCATTAGATACTGAAATAGGCGGCGCATTTGGATATATACATACACGAACCAGGCAACGAACCACAAATCAACACACACAGCGCCATGTGTAAGTAAATTACGCACACACACACACACATTGATGTGTGGGCAGGTGGTAAAAAAGGAGTGGGAGGGCGGGCAATGGGGGGGGGAGCGAATGCATTGCATATTGTGAAGTAGCTTGTGTGTTGGCACTTGAGCTAAGCGGGCGAGCAATTTCATTTGTTTCGCACTAATGAGCAAATGGAGCTGGCACTCAGCTCGCTCGCGGGCTGCACGTGCCCCACTGGCGTGCCGGAGTCGTCCTGGCAAGGATTAAGCACTTCATTTCCCACTCATATTTATCTGCACGTAATGAACATACACAATTCATAAGAACCACCCACTCTTCTTCATCGCAGCAAAGACACCGTCATTTGATAAGGATCGGGACTACATTGGCTTTGCCACGCTGCCGGAGCAAGTGCACCGGAAATCGGTGAAGCGCGGCTTCGAGTTCACGCTGATGGTTGTGGGTGAATCGGGCCTGGGCAAGTCCACGCTCATCAACAGCCTCTTTCTGGGCGATCTGTACAAGAATCGCACGGTGCCCAATGTGGAGGAGCGCATCGAGAAGACGACACGGATCGAGAAGAAGACCATGGACATCGAGGAGCGGGGCGTGCGCCTGCGCCTCACCGTGGTGGATACGCCCGGCTTCGGGGATGCGATCAACTGCGAGGATAGCTGGCGCGTCTGCACTCAGTACATTGACGAACAGTTCCGGCAGTATTTCACCGACGAGAGCGGCCTGAATCGACGCAACATACAGGACAATCGTGTGCATTGCTGCTTGTACTTTGTGCCGCCCTGGGGGCACAGGTGAGTGCAGGCGAACCACGCAAATCCAAATACCAATTAATTCTTTTATATTTCGGATTCAGCCTGCGGCAGATGGATTTGGATTTGATCAGGCGACTGCATCGAAAGGTAAACATTGTCTTGGTCATTGGCAAGGCGGATTGCCTGAACAAGACGGAGGTGCGCAACCTGAAGGAGCGCATCCTGCAGGATCTCGAGGACAATCACATACAGCTGTATCAGTTTCCCGAGTGCGATTCCGACGAGGACGACGACTTCAAGCAGCAGGACCGTGAGCTCAAGGCATCCATACCGTTTGCCGTTGTCGGCAGCAACACCATCTTGGAGGTGGCTGGCAAGAAGGTGCGCGGCCGCCAGTATCCGTGGGGCGTGGTCAATGTGGAGGATGCGGAGCATAGCGACTTTATAAAGCTGCGCACCTTCCTCATATCGACGCATATGCAGGACCTCAAGGACACCACACAGGTGAGTCGATCAGTTATGCAAACTCCAAGCGCCAATTCATGCTGCTTGCCTTCACAGGATGTGCACTACGAGAACTTTCGGGCGCAGTGCATCTCACAGATATCGCAGCATGCGCTGCGTGAGCGCGGCAAATTGAAGCGTGACTCGATCAGCTCAACGAACGGGTTCGATGCGGCCATCTCGGAAACGGATCGCCTGCTGCTGCAGAAGGACGAGGAGATCCGACGCATGCAGGACATGCTCACGCAAATGCAGGAAAAGCTCAAGCAGACGCATCTCATGGAGATGAAGAAGAACGACAGCGTCATCGATGTCTAAACTTCGCGTGTTCAATTTTGCATCTTTCATATATGTATACATATACATATGTATATATAATACTTATATAGACTTTCCCTCTATACAAAAGCATATACATACCCACACACACACACACACACATACATTTGCACACATACGTGGGCAGCCAACCACCAAAAATTTACGTTTTTAAGTTAGCAGCAGAGTTTCCAGTTAACCAAATTTCGTTAAGACAACTTCAAACCAATTCCAAAATGAAAACAAAACAAATTAAAATTTGTTCCTCTTCTTAAACAAAAAATCGCTTACCATTTACAGCTGCGTCTCGCCCAGCTCAGCTCATTGACCAAACTCTTTTTGCATTTCTCTAGAAATTAGCACAAACTAAGAACGAATAAGAAATGAAAAGCAAACGCTTCGCTGATTTTCTTCTGCAAAAAAAAAAAAAAAACCAAACAAACAACGTTTCAATTGTTGATCGTAGAATTAACTCAATTTGACTCGATAAAATAATGCATACAAATTACAATTACCAAGTGAATTTTTTAAACGAAGAGACTAAACCTAAAACGTAGCTACGTTCATACCACAAGCAATTCCACAAAGAGAAAACAAAAACTAAAATGAATATTAACAACTTAAAATAGAGATCGCAGTGCACGTATTATACCAAAGTAAAATGAGTTTGAGAAACTACACGAACTAACAGAACAAACCGGAACAAGAGGCAAACAAATAGATACATAGACACATATATATATAAAGATAAATATATGTATGGGATTTTTTTTTATTACTCTTTTTTCTCTTGGTCAGTGTTAACCTGAAAAAAAAACAAATATTAAAAAAAAAAAAAAAACAAACTCCTAATTTGTTAAAACGAATTGTTAATGAATTTATTTTAAATGATTAATTAAGCAACATACAAACATCATAATTAATGAAAATTATAGTGGAAAAATTATATACACATAATTATAATTATAATACTAATAATAATAAAAGAAAACACAAGAACTATTTAAAAATAAACATAATTATTAAAATTCAATTTTCAATTTTATTTTTCAATTGATTATGAATTTGTATTTCCATATACATATATCTCTTTCTACATTGCTATGCTTTATGATTCTGGTAAATATGCATAGATTAAGTGAGAGCTGGATTTATATAGTTAACTATCATGACTAAATGAAAAGCAACCATCACAATACTTTTAGAGCAGACCTCTTCTAGGGAATGTTTCCATTATATGCACAAGCCTTAATCTATAGGTATATATGACGCAACAATCATTTAGGATTCCTCCTTCTGACAATATTTCGAATCGTCCATATATCCTAAGGTTAATATATACTTCGCTGAAGACTTTCAACGTAACGAGCCTTTTTAAAATATACCCTTACGTCTACGTTAATATACCCTTACGCTAATATTCCTTAACACATTCACCCAGCTGTAAGAGTAAAGTAACTTCGTAATATAACTTTGTGATATATATCAATATATTATATTATATACTCATACGTTAATGTATTCTGACGTAATACGTCTACGCTTACATTAAAATGCCCTTACGTGTCCACCAAGTAGGGAAAGTAAGTTAAATAATTGCATGCCCTTATGTTACGTTAATGTAATCTACGTAATACGTATGCCCTTACATTACAATGCCCTTACGTGCCCAACCAAGCTGCGACCCAGTTAAATAATTGCCTACCATTACGTAATATATTTACGTATATGTATATATGGTTGTAGCCTTTCGCTATATAGTAACCCGTTAATATATTCTTACGTAATATATCCTTACGCTATATGCCTTTATATGCCCACCCAGTTGCAAAATTAAATTGAGTAATTTCATTTCATTTAGATTTATTTATTTCTCTCTTCATTTTGTTATCATTAAAGTTTCTGCACATATATATATTTATCATATATGTATATTTATGTGTATATATGTATGTATATACTTATATATGTATATAGAATACATAGTATGTATGTTCGCTATGCCACTTACATGGCTTTTACAATACATATATATTTATATACATACATACACACACATACAAATATACATGCATATATGTACATATATGCCTTGGGGACTTATGTAACTGATCTCTGCTAACTGAATAAATTTTCACTTGTTTTACATGCAGTTTTGCGTTTGCTTTCCAATTTTTCTTTTCTTATTTGGGTAGAATTCATTTCATAAATGTTAATGCTTATTTCACATACATATATATATATATGTGTGCGTGTATATGTTTAAATACATACATGTATATACATACATATATTACTATATATATGTACAATTTATGGATTATTTACCAGAGACAGAGACGACACGATACACGACAAAAAAAAAATAGGAAAAACAAAAACAAAAACTTAGAAGTTTCTCCTGTATATAATAGGGGTAGCCCATTGATTTAGTTTAATTTGCATATATGTATATACACATACATAGGCCTGATGTAATTCAATGGATAGTTTTCTTGACGTTTCATTTCATTTTGCAATTAATTCAAATTTTTCAATTTTAGTTTTTCCTTTATTCGTAAATGTATTTTCTTATGTATTTTCTCATATAATATTTTTAATGAATTTTTCTTTTTTTTTCTTGTTGGATTTAAACTCGTTTATTTTTGGTTGTTGTTTTTTCTCTTGTCTTCTTTTTATGTTTGGCTATTTTAACGTTTCAATTCGTTTCTCTAACTTCAAGCGTACTTTTTAGTTAGTTTGCTTCACATACCTTTTGCTTTAGCTATTTGCGCTGAAGCCAACTTTTCTGCATCGTTTTTCGATTTCTCAGTTATGTCAGTGTGTGTGTGTGTGTGTGTGTGTATGTATATGTATCTGTGATTTGAGTTCTCTTGTATATAATTGTATAAATTTCAAAAAAAAAATTTTTCTAACTGCTTCCATGTAACGCCAGCGTTACACTCTATATATATACATGTATATATATAGATACATATATATATATATATTGATGTATATATATATATATATGTTTATATATATAATACTTTATACATATCGTATTTCATATCTCTGCTAGATTCTTTTGCCCTTTCTTAAGATTTTCAACTTTTGCCACATTTAAATTATTATTATTTTCATTTTTTTTTTTTTATTCTTAACAACCGTCGCCTGCGCACATTTTATTTGTTTTCTATATTATTTTTGGTTTCTTTTGAGTTTTGTATTTTCATTTTTTGGTGTTTTACATTTCATTTAAGTACAAAACTACTTGCCTTGTCTGCCAGATACATATGTTTATGTATCTTTGATTCTTTTTGATACTCTTTTCCGCTGCTTGACTTTTCTTTATAATCATATATATAATATATATGTGTATATTAATATTAGTCTATGTATACATCTATATATAAATAATTTTATATTATTTATTTATTTAATTTTTTTTATCTTGCAATTCACAAAAAAAAATTTCTTAAAAAAAAGTATTTTCTCTTTTTCTATTATTTTTTTATCTTGGCCAAATCCTTTTTTTTAACATCTAACATTATGGGACGTAGCTTACTAGCAAAAAAAAAAAAAAAACGACGTATATAATACTACTTGCATATGTATAAGACCTCATATATACTTGATATACTTGACGGCATGCCTCTCTCAGTATATATATATATATATATATATATATATATATATATATATATATATATATATATATATCGAAGTTGTAGATAGTTGCTGCGTAGACCTGAACTATAATGTAGAATATATGAAAGTGAGGGGTATACAGTAGTCAAGAGAGCTAACTCTATGTATATATTAAATTCATTAATTACAGTGACACACAATACACGTACAACATATGGCTATATATTAGTAACTGTATACATAATACGTATATATGTATATGCATATATACCTATACACATATTTGTTTTAGTAGCTAAATACACTGTCAAATACAGTTAAATATATATAAATATATAACTGTGTTTCCAGTGTATGTGTCTGTATGTGTGTGTTTACATATACATACGTACGTAACTCTGCTTGCTCTAACACTCAAGTGCCTCGAAATATTTTATATATACTAGATATTATATCGAGTGTGGAATTAGTAACCAATTTTCAATACATTACTAAATAAGACATCAAATATATCAATGCATACATATATATATATACGTTGTATATATATACATATATATGTATAATTAACCGTTAGCTCTGCTTTCATGTTTCTTGTTTCATTTATTTATATAATTTTTGGTTGCGAGAAAAAAGTCATTTGGATTTTTGTTTGTTTGTTTCATTTATTTGTAATTTTTCATTTCACTCAATCGTTAAAGTAGCTTTCAGTTTTTGCCATGGACTGCGCCCTGCTTTCAACTATTGTTGTATATGTATGTATATTTAGTTTATTTGGTTTCATTGAATATCTGAAGCGCACATTTACAATGCTGCTTAAATTGCTAGTAAAGTATTTGTTGTTGTTGTTGTTTTGCTAACAGTTTTACAATATTTTTTGAATTCTTCACTTCAGTTACAACAATTTGCTTATTTGAAACAATATACATTTTATGCTGTGTATGCTTGTATTTATATGTATATGTATATTTATATATATATTTTATAATTTTTCTTGTATTTTGAATAGTGCATAATAGTATATAATTTTAATGATATTTTTAGACCATCAAGGTTGATTCATTTAAATATTTTCTTTCTCATTTATGTATATATATATATGTATAATATTATGTAAATATTGTATTAAAAAAAAAAAAACAATTTAACGGATCCTGCCCGCTAAAACACAATTGTAATAGATATAGATATATATACAGCTGCGGTCACAAAAATAGTACTGCGAGGAAGCACTAAATGCTTGACAGAAAAGCGTCGTAATAAACTTAATATCAACATTCAATTAATAAATATAAATGTTAATTCTTTGCTTCGGGTTTTTTCCCGAAACTTTGAGTTTAATCCGAAGGTTTTTTTTTTTTTTTTTTTTGTTCCGCATTTAGTGCTGAGTCGCAGTACTATTTTTGTGGCCGCAGTTGTACACATATGTATGTATGTGTGTGGGTTAAGATTTATATATATATATATATATATATAAATACATACATATATATATATTACAAAAAAATAATTAATAAATTAATAACAATAAACGTAATAAATTATGCGCTTTTTAGTTTGGCCTGCCACACTCTCTCGATCGATCACGCACCAGCGTGAGCATGTGACTATATATATATAGTATATATCTATATATAAATATACATATAGAGCACAGATTGCTTTATATAGAAGTACACATATGTATGTTTAGTTGTATTTGTATGCTAGTAAATAGCCAATGACTTTTTTTGTTTAATTTTAAATTGCATTTATTTTGCTTCTTTTTGTTTTTTTTGTTTTGTTTTTTTCTTTTGGTTGTTTGCTTTTTAGTTAAGAATTTGCTAGTGCTTGTGCTTGTTAAGTCTTTATATTTGTTTAAGATTTCTTTTAACTGTGGCCCAAAAGGTTGATCAAGTTTTCAAGTCAATCAAATCAAAGTGTTTAAATTCGTGTGGCATTTCTTTGCGTTAACATACACAGATCGAATTTGTTTAAATTTGAACAGTGCGCCGTTAGCAGCTCTGTTAATGTTAAGGTTTCACTCTGTCAACTTTATGTTACCGTTACTATTACTGTTACGACTAAAATAATATTTTGCGAAGACAGCGTTTTACTTGGAAGCAACAAAAAATCAAGAATA